TATAAAATTAATCAAGAAAAACACGTCAAGTTCATTGCCTGTTTTCGGAAAAGTTTGGCAATAAAAATGCAAACGCATTTTGTTGGCTTTTGTTGTCTGCATGAAATTGATTAATTTATTTTTATGTTCACATGTTTGTATGTTCCGTTTGTTATCCATTTGCTTTTAGCGCCTTTGTCAGAGCACTTGAAATGCTTTTGTGATATATTTTTTATATCAGCCAGACAGCATCTAGCCGTAGATTTATGTGTTCTCTATATTCTCTCTATATTGTATACAATATTTCGAGATCTGTGGGGCCAGCGGACAGTTGGCCATCAAATGGATGGCCCTTCGCCTCCCCCTTTACGGCCACAGTACTCATCGTGTTTCAGTTTTCTCAGTTTACATTCAATTTGCTTTCGACATTCGCCAGCAATGGTGTTTGAGCCAAAACATTTGGTTTCACTTTGCGCATAATTAACTTTTGCAGTTGCCAGCCTTTACAAACACATTCAATTTGCTTATTTATATATTATTCAAGTGATTATGAATTCAAGAACTTTTGCTCTCAATTTGGCAATTCTCGGGCATTATCATAAAATTCTTGGAAAAAAACATATTTTATAATGCGTTTACGCAAAATGAATGCTAAATTATAAAAAAAATACATTTCCAACAAAATGTAACAAGATGTATAAGCTGTATAAATTTTAAAATCTTATCTTATTTTACAAAGATAAAGTTATTTCAGTTTCGTAGTTGCAATATATGCAAACAATTTAAATTTTACAAGTTAAAAACCTTTAAAATCAAAATGGTATGCTTTATCAATTGTTAGGAAATTATTGACCAAATACATTAATTTTAAAAACTGCGTATAATTTAATTTGACAAAATTAAAATCACTAAAAAATATCCTTCTCATTTGGCAATTGTTTTTTCTGTTCCAATTGAAAACTTTTCTTGTTCGCTTTCCCTTAATGTGCCACGTTGCGTATGAGTAATGAGCAGCATCATTCGATTTCGCGCTCTTGAAACGATGCCAAGCGTGCTCAGACAATAGACCATTGAATGAGAAAATGGCGAGAGGAAAAGCGGTCGGAAAAAGCAGCATAGCATAGCAGACACAGACGAAGTGACGGCGATGAAGAAAAGCCATTGCCAAAATAGCAAAGTAATTGCAAATCGCCAAACTCGTGCAGTCAGACCCAAGGAATGTACGTATGTGTATAAATAATTCGGGACCTCCTGCCCGAGATATATTTATAGTTCTATCTATATACACGCAGATTGATATGATTTCGCACTCTGATTTTCGGCAAGCCATATGTTGTCTGACGTGCGATGGTCTTTGCTCTTATGATTACGCATTTGCCCCATGGGCGGAGCCAGACCCAATTTGTGCACGCGTTTGCACCTAATTGTAGGCAAAGTGCACTCCTCCTTTTTAGTTACTTAAATGTAATTGCACACAAGTGCAATTAAACAGCTTGACGCATGCGGCGCAAATTTCCACGCTTCGGAAAACTGCCAACGAGCTGCCAGGTCGCCGGGATCAACAGTGCAGCCTGTTTGGCAATTAATTCCATAATGTTATGTACTCCCATAGCATGTTTATCCTTTTAAAAATTTAACAAAGACTACTCCATTACTTTTGCTTTATTAAATCTTTTGTTAATTAATAAATAATATTTAATAAATTACGAATTGATACCATATGGTCTTTCAGATTTTGTGATTAGCCTATTTAATCATAAAATATATATTTCCTTTCCGCCACTTAACGAAATTTAATCTATTTTCTGTTTTTTACAAAGTCTTGTTATTGGTATTTATAATAATATTGATATTTTTACAATTCTAACAAGCTAAACTGTCCATCAGAGGTTTTAACGGATTATAAATTTTATTAATATTTAATTTAATTTTTGTAAACTCGGTCAAAGTCAATAAATACTTTTGTGATATTTTCTTCTTTTCCTATTTATCTTTGAAAAGCGTTTAGTTTCATTTGATTTCTGTTGTTTTTTTTTATAAGGAATTAATTGGCACCACTGACATTCTCTGAGGAAGAACCACCTCCTTGGTCGCTTCTGCACTTTGTCTTCATTCATCTCGAGGCAGAATCGCCTCCAAGTCGTAAATTTTAAATGGTTTTGTGGGTCATTGCTGCCGAGATGGCAAAACCCGGGGAGCGAGCATTCAAACGAGGCGAAAAGCGTAAGAACAAGACGTAAGTTTGATCTGAACTTTTGCCAAGCGAGTCTTTTGAACTGCTGCATCCTCTCGGCTTTTCCCGCAGCCTCCGTCCTTCGCTGCTTTTCCTGCCAGTCGAAAGACGAAGGAAAATTTATGCGCCTGGCTGCGCCGGTCAGCGAAATGGCGCCAAGGTTCAAAGCTCCAAACAAAGGTTGAGCAAAAAGGGGCAGGGCCACTTAGTGGCCTCACTCCAGTGGCCACATGATTGAGTTTCGGCCACCGTCGTTGTTTTCCCTCGCCATAGCTTGTGCATTCAATTTTATTGCAAATTGTTTGCAACAGTGTTTGAACTTTTGTTCTGGGCCCGAGCCCTGTATTTTTGTTTTTCGGCCATGCAAAACATGTCGCAACAGCCATAAAAAAAATGTAGCTGCACTGCAGCCTACCGAAGGGCAATGGGATACGCATACACGGAAAAGGGGTAAAAGCGGAAAAGTGTTTGCCCATCACGTATACGAAATGTTTTACGTTCAAGTAACAACTACGAGGGTTGCGAAAAAAATTCTGGAGCAAACTCCCAGTCTTTTGTATTGCCTTTAATGGCATTAAAACAATGGGTTCTAAAGTTGTTAACTTGCTTAAATATTCATAAATTTAATTCACAGACAAAGTAAGCTCAATGTGAGCTAACCAAAAAAAATTAACAATTTAAACAGCCATTGTCAATAAACTCTAACCTTAAGTTCAAAGTTAATGTTTTGTAAATATTTCTCATAACATTCTTTTCTTCTATTAAATTTTTAAAAAATATTCAATTTTTTCTTTAGAAGTTTTATTATAAAATTTTTAATGTCCTAATGTAGTGACTACTAAAACCACTGTACGTATGTACAATACACTCGTTTACAAAATTTTTTATGCTAGGATGTAACTATGCAAAAGGTTATTAAAAGAAATTAAATTTTATCTGTTCAAAAAATATCGAAATGTTGAATTGTCGAATTAATACTTTAATAACTATATATAAGCCAACTATTCAATTGTTATTTAAGACCGATACAGTTCCGATGGAAACCTAAATCACTGCGAATATCTATTCATCACAATCAATCTGCTTTAAGCATTATCAAGCTGATTTCTTCAATTATTATTTCTGAGTTCCTCCATCGCATAAGCACAATCAGAATTCAAATAACTTTACAGCCCTCGAGGAGCGCGCCAAAACAGACACAGACACTTATTGCAATTTCTGCTGCAAGTATATAGTTGCCAAAAACAATGCCCACGAAATATAAAGAGAAATTCGCAAATTTACAGACAACTCAGGAACTCGGTGCTCCAAAGTGCAAAGCCACGCAAATGTTCAGTTTGGATTTATTGTTATGCGAAACTCTTCTTTTTATGTGTATATAATATATGTTATATATATTTATAAGAGCCCCTCGAGTGCGCGAGTGTATTCGTGTGTGGCAATGCGGCGAAATGTGTTACAATTAATTTGGCACACACGGCGTATGCTGAATATCATTTGGTCTCTGCAATCGAGTAAATCCGCGGCAATTGGCAATTATACAAATTCTCTTCGCAGACAATTGCATGTGCAAAACAGACCAGTGTGCGGGGATAGGTGGTGTGATGGGGCGGACCGGGGTGGAACAACCATCCATGGCCATGGGAGATTGATGAGTCGACCTCCAATGATGTGACAAAGTGGAAGCATTGAAATCGTCAGTGGCCACCCATTTTGCCCCAGCTGATTCGGGGTTAGGTCAAAGGTCTGCGGTTGCTGAACTTTAAATGCTGCACCGACATTTGCATTTGAGCTTTAAAACCATCAAGTCCGCGATGGATGGATGCATATGAATTACTTTCAGCTTACACTGCACTGAAAGATTTTTACATTACTCATTTATTATTTGTACAGCTTCAAAATTAATTATTTTTTCCCAAATAAACTAATTATTAAGATTTTTTTTTCCTTGTCCCTTACTTAGATAAATATAGGTAGGTAAATTTCAATTCATTACAAAATTGGTAAGCCAAAAATGTAATTGTTGAATACCAAAGAAAGTTTAGCTTTAAAAAGTGTCCAGAAAAAAAATACAGACAGTATTAAAGTATAAGTATTAATTTAAAACTTGAACTAGAGCGAATTATGTTAAAAAAATCGTTTTTAAAGTTAAATTTTGAAGCAAATGTTCCGCGCTTTTTTCCAGGTGCACTTACCTGTGTGTCAACAAAGAAGTGAACTATTATGGCAGCATAAAGGACCACCAGGGCACCGCCTCCAATGCCGATGATTGAGCTAATGGCCACCAGCTCATGGAGCAGCTATACGGGGCTTGGTTTTATGATGAGGATGTGCCTGCAGATGTCACAAGAATGGGCGCACGCTCTTCGTTTATTCGAGAATGCCACACATACCGTAAATTCCACGCTGGGAATCCGGATCCCGGCGAGAACTTCAAACGCTTGCCGGGCGCTTCGTTTATTTACACAAAACTAGTTTATGCCCGAAAAGCACCATTCGCAGGCACTTAACAAGCGCTCCCGTTTATTATCTTAATTATTCCCAGCGTTTTCGGCGGCGCTCTTTGACGCACCACTAGAGATTCCGATTCAGATTCGTTTGGATTTGGTTTTGGACTCGGGTCCGTATCTCTTTGTCCGAGCAAGAGCAACTGCACCGTGTGAACCGGAGGCGGCAACTAAGCAGACCAAGTCAAAATATCTGGGTGCTCGCTCATAGCAGCGCCAAATGCACGCCAACCGATTTGTTTATCCATTTGCTGCGTGTGCGTGAATTTGTTGGTTATTAATTGCAATGAATGGTGCCAGCGTGGGCAGCTTTTTTTTTTATTTTTGCTTGTTTCTCTCTGATTTTTGGGTTCTGGTTGTTGACTGCGTCTAGACGACTCTATTTTAAATATTTAAACGCCCTCTGGCGGATAACGGTTTGATAACGATAGTTTTTGTTAGATATATCAGCGTTTCTCAGCACTGATGTTTTTTTAAAACAAATTTAAAGTAACTTTACATCGATTGAATAACTTAAAAACAACTAAATAAATAAATAAATAAAATTAAAGTTGACAATTAATAGATAGCACTTATGTGTTGGGGAAAAAATCTCTTTTCTGAATTACATATTAATTCTGCATATCTTATAAGCTTATTTTCTGTTGTTTTGCTAAGAAAATACTTCGGGAAGAGAAAATCATTACAATTAAACAACATAATTTTGATTAACTCAAATATAAGTTTTAAAACTAATGAACTTAAGTAGTGTTTTGCTTCTTATCTACATTTACTTATTTACAACTTCCTTAATGGGAACTCATCCCTGAACCCACTGCTATTAATTAATCACCTGACAAGGTGCCACATCCTCGATTTCCTCCCCGTCCAGCGCCTTAATTTGGCACTGGCACAGGAACTGCACGATCTTTCGCTCGGCACTTGATCGCTCCAGCGGACTCAGGCCGTCCAGCAGCATCTGAGCCTTGGCCAGCAGGCTGTTGGCCGGCGTCGCACTTCGCTGTTCCCGCTCCTGCTCCTGCTGCTCGTGCTGAATTTGGGCCTGCAGCTCTCGCGATTGTTGCAACACTGTCTCCATGTTGGCTATCACCGTAGTCAGTAGTTTGTCGGAGTTGGTAGCAGGCAGGGCAGAGTCCTCAACGAGGGAGGGTAGCTCCTCCACAACGGGATTCGCTCTGTCGATGGTTTGGGTTATCTCCTCGTTCATGGCCGGCGTGGTGGTGGTCACCTGCAACTGCTGCGAAGGCTCCAAGTCCTGCGCTGGAGTGGCTTCGCTGAGGATAAAATCGTAGGGCGTTGCCTGCTCCGCCTCGGACAGGATCTCGATCTCCTCGTCGTAGGGCAGCTCCAGATCGTCCTCCAGTTCGTCGTTGTCCGTGCTATAGGGATAGTCGGCGCCCCATATCTGCTCGCCACTGGAGATGACCATACCATCCTGCTGTTTACTGGGATTCACCGAGGCATTGCTTGACTTGGGTGGTCGCCCGCGCCGCTTGATGTTCTCCAAAACTAGCGGAACTCCTTTACGAAAGTGTCGGCCCAAAAATAGGAGCTCATTGAAGTAACGCCAGGTGATGGGCGTGGCCTGGTTGATCTGCTGGCTGCGGTATTCCCGGGCAAAGCGATCGCGCAGCTTCTTCCAACGCTTGTAACACAGTTCCTCTGGGGAATTTTAGGCTATTTATAACTGACTATCCCCAGTTGGCAGTAAAAACTCACCCGACACATTGAGATTCTCGGAGATTTCGCGCCAGGCTTCGTTTTTGGCAGCCAGGTTCTTGGAGACCCTGATCTTGTGCCGGTCGTACAGCACCGGATGCATCTTGACCAGCTCGATAAGCTGCTCGTTCAGCAAGTCATCCTGGCAGTCCTCCTGCTCCTCGTCCTTGCGCCGCTTCTCCTGCTCCATGTCCATTTTTGGCCGCTTCTTGCGCTCCCTTGGCTCAAATCGCATCCCGTCCAGACTTTCGTTTCTCGCCAGACCTTGTTTGTAGTGATCCTTGAGGAAGAGCAGACGCGGAAACATGTCCCAGTAGGTGGGTTCGTCGGGGCGCTCCTGGAAGCGACGGAACTCCTTGCCAAAACGATCGCGAATGCTCTTCCAGCGCGTAATGCAAGCCCGTTCGGAGGCGCCCAACTTCTGGGAGATAGCCTTCCAGGCCGCATCCTTCTGGGCAGCATTCTTCACGCTCCTGGCGCTGTCCTTGTCGTAGAGGATCGGATGGCTCTCTATAAGTTTGATCAGCTCGCCGTCGTCCATTGATTTTCGCAATTATTTGTTATTATTAATTTTAGACGGTCTGGCAACCAGGCGGGAAATATCGATAGCTGGTGGGTTTAAGTTCCATCTCTACAAATAGCGTAGTCTGATCGGGTGTTCATCTTTTAATGCAGACTTTGTTTTTCAAATTGTAATTTAAAATAGTTATGTTACTATATGGAACAAATATTTGTATGCTTTTTGAAGTTTTTTGAATTATATGTATATCCTTAAACTAATAAATATTTTTATTAATATTATTTAAAAAGTTTGATAGTTTTGAAGGCTGAATGTAATATCACATTATTTCATTATCACTTCCCTGATATCTAAACAACGCAAAATATTAGTATTAGGTTTTGATAAGATAACCCTTCACCATCGATAGTCGCAAAGTCATCGATAATTCGATAGTGTCATTCATCCATCTCTATTGTGCGACCTGGCAACGCTGTGTGAACGAAAAATACGGCAGCGTGCTCCATTTCCACCCACGTTTTGTTATAATTAAATAAGTATTACGGTGTAAGACCGATTTTCCACTGCACCCGCAGCGCAGCGAAATCCAGGCGATTGAAAGTTGAAAGTTGAAAAAAGGAGCGAACGGATTTTCTTGCAACAGCGAATGCGGCTGTGTGCGTGAGCATTGGAATTCGCCTCTGTGTGTGGAGTGCCCGGTGTGACTGTGTGTGTGACGGACCAAAAAAGCCGACATCAGCGCCCATTTTTTGTTGTTGATTCATTAATACGATACGCCCGTCATGCGCCAGTATTGGTGAGTTGGAGCAGCTCGCCCCATCTCACTCTCACCCAGCGGCGGCAGTCGAAGAAACAGTTACCGCAGAAAGAGCGCAGGGAGCGGCAGAAGAAGAATCAGCGGGAGCAGTCAACGTCATAAAATTTGTCACCGCACTTTTCACAAAAATAACAGTTGGTAAACCGCCATGATCCTGCTGGAAATCAATAACCGTATTATAGAGGAGACGCTGCTGGTCAAATACCGTAATGCCCAAGCAGGGTAAGTGCCAATTTTCCAGTCCCCAATTTCCCTTCCACCATTTTGGTTTATCTACTGCATTCCCCACCGTTATCACCATCGGCGTTGTTATCAGCTTCGTTGTCCCCTGTCATTCGCACCCGCTCTCCTTGCGGGAACCAATTTCGGGTGTAGTTCCAGCCTTGGAACTTGGAACACTCATCGCTGCAGCTCTCTCCCTCCCACACACGAATTCAAGTACAGTGCTCCCCCTTCCCGTCGACCGCATTTGTTAATTCATTGCAGCTCGTTTATCGCATCATTGGTGCATCATACTTATATAACTGAATCATCGCCCGAAGCATACAAATCAAAACTACTACTGGAAATCTAAACATCATATAAGATCAAATAGGATCCCCCAAGAGCCTGGTTGCACTATCACTAGTTTCTACCTTTAACCTAGGACATCCGCTATATTCGACATTTCAAAAACCCGAATGCGTACAATGACAAGTTTTGGAGAAGTTAATACTCTGAAAGTGTGTCAAGGGATTCGAGCTACGATAGTTAATCATTTAAATTAGCTACACGTTTAGAAGTCACGTATGTTATACTCAAAATATTGCTTAAAAATAAAATCTTTTTTTTTTAATTAATGTCAGATTTTAAAAATACCTTTGAACTTGATATAAAAGACAAATACCCAGGGAGCAAAAGTGGCAGACTTCGGAAATCTTTCCATTTGTGTCTCAAATGCTCCAAAATAAATTTTATAAGACGAACGGCATCCTGAATAATAAATCATATTATAGCAGATGACTTGAGTTGGTCTACAATCGCCCTTAAGGAAATAAGTCTAAAAAGACTTTCTCAGGAGACAAAGTTTACATGTTAAATATGATATCGGTTTTATTTCGTGTTTACAAAGTCCAAAATTAATTGTAAGTTTAAATTATCTTGTGAGATATATAATGTTGTCCAAGAAGGTTTTTCACCTACACAATAACCCCTTAAGTGGTAATTGGGTGGAGCTAAAGTGGCACCTGAATATTTAATTATATTGTAATGCACAACAGCTTAACTAGTGTTAAACAATTCTCTTTTCCGAAGACATAGCTTACATGTTAAAAACGTAAAGATGCTTTTTGGTGTCTACAATGCTTCAATAATAATAATTGTTCGTTTTAATCATCCTGGGCATTCGATTATATTGCTAAGGATGAATTTAAATCGTACGCAATATTGCTTTGATATATTTTGTGACGCAAGTGTAATTTTTTTTTACCAATATTATCCAATCTTTAGCCTTAAAATTGTTAAAGGGCTCTCATTTTGTTTCCTAAACTAATTAGTTCCTAAACTAATTTGTCAGAATTGAGACGTTTATCGGGAGCTATTTTATGGCATAATTTAGAATTTTTCTCTAATTTATGTGTGAGTTTCTCCCCAAATTACAAATGTATTTAAAAGGCAAACTTAAGTCTGTATAATTAATCAAAATGAAAACAGATACATCGAGTAAGCATACATTTTTTCTAAAACGCCAAAAATTTGTTGTGAATTGTTTGTGTGATTCTTTGTTATTGGTTCGTTTTTTAAATATAATCAAGTATAAACGGGTTTTTGAGATAAGATATAGTGGGGTGTGGAAGCATGACTAATAACCAATCGATCTCATACGTAATGTTTTAACTCTCTTTGCAGACTAAAGCCTGAATCGATAGACATAAGAATAGCAGACTTTGATGGTGTGCTTTATCACATTTCCAATGTGAACGGCGATAAAACGAAAGTTCGGGTTAGTACTTCAAATAATTTGTATTGTAGTACCCTAACTTCACAAGATTACTTGCTTTTCTTGTGTTCCCCAAACAGATCAGCATTTCGCTTAAGTTCTACAAACAACTGCAAGAGCATGGAGCCGACGAGTTGCTGAAGCGTGAATATGGCAGTCTGCTCACGGACACGGAAGAAGGTCTGAACATGCAACCACAGCTCAAGTTCGTCTTTAAAAAAAGTTAATTACTCTCTGTTTATTTCAGGCTACAATGTTTCTGTACTTATCAATCTGGAGGAGATTCCCGATGACTGCGAGCAGATTGCAAAGCGAATCGGACTGCTGAAGCGAAACTGTTTCGCGTCCGTGTTCGAAAAGTATTTTGACTACCAGGAGCAGGGTGAAGAGGGCCAAAAGCGAGCCGTAATTAATTACCGCAACGATGAGACTTTGTAAGCCCGAAAAATAGGTCAAGAAATTAAGGATTGGCGAATAAACCATTTTCGTTTCGCAGGTATGTGGAGGCCAAGCCCGATCGTGTCACCGTCGTCTTTAGTACCATTTTCCGGGACGAGGACGACGTCATAATCGGCAAGGTATTCATGCAGGAATTAAGGGAAGGACGACGAGCCTCGCACACAGCGCCGCAAGTGCTCTTTTCGCACCGCGAACCGCCGTTGGAATTGGCAAACACGGACGCCAGGGTGGGCGACAACATCGGCTATGTCACATTTGGTAGGTTAAAAACATATTTTGAAACTATTTCGCCGAATTCGCTCTTTAGTTCTACATTTTATTTTGATTTTAACTCAACAAAAATGAAATATTTAGGAATTAGTAATGTGTTAAATCAGGTGGTCTGGAGCTAAAGTTTACATGTTAAAGTAAATTTGACTTTTTCGTGTCTTCAATGCTCCCAAATCAATTGTGTCGTCAAAATCATATTTTAAACTCTATTATATTTTCAAAGATAAATACTTCCGTGGACAACTATGTAACAATATTTGCGTTGGAGTCAAAGTGGCATTTTTAAACATTAACAATGCTCCAATATCAACTGGTTAGACGAACGGCATCCTGAGTAATCAAACATATTGTAGCAGATGACTTTTTTGTTTTACCCAAGCGAACTTAGTTTTTTAATGGAGACAAAGTTTACTAGTTGAAAGCATAACAATTTTTTTATGGCATTGGGTGATTTGTTTCGTGAACATTTTTGCAATAATTTATCCTGAGGAGTCAAAGTGGCACACTTAAATAAATGCCTTTAATTTGTGTCTCAAATGCTCCAAAATCAAGTGATAGACGAACGGCATCCTGAATAATTAATTATATTATAGCAGATGACTTGTGTTCGTGTACAATAGCTCTTTTGTTGTTCCCAAAAAACTTAGATTTGATACGGAGACAAAGTTTACATGTTAAAAGCATAAAAATCTTTATCGTGTCTACAATGCTCCAAAAACAATTGTTTCGTTTGGATCATCATTGGCAATCTGATATTGCATTAGATGATTTGCAATAACTTAGTAGTAGTAGCAAAAAGTTAAACTTAACAAAAATGAAGTATGTAGGAATTAGTAATTAATAATGTGTTAAAATCAGGTCGTCTGTTAAAGTAAATTTGCCTTTTTCGTGTCTACAATGCTCCCAAATCAATTGTTTCGTTAAAATCATCTTTGAAATTTTATTATATTTCCGTGGACAATTATGCAAAAATATTTGCTTTGGAGTCAAAGTGGCATTTTTAAAAATTAACAATTTACCTGTGTCTCAAATGCTCCAAAATCAACTGAAAGACGAACGGCATCCTGAATAATTAATTATATTATAGCAGATGACTTGTGTTCGTGTACAATAGCTCTTTTGTTATACCCAAAAAAAACTAGTTTTATACGGAGACAAAGTTTACATGTTAAAAGCATTAAAATCTTTTTCGTGTCTACAATGCTCCAAGAACAATTGTTTCGTTAAAATCATCTCAGAAATTTTATTATATTTCCAAAGATAAATACTTCCGTGGACAATTTGCAACAATATTTGCGATGGAGTCAAAGTGGCATTTTTAAAATTTAACAATTTACCTGTGTCTCAAATGCTCCAATATCAACTAGTTAGACGAACGGCATCCTGAATAATTAATTATATTATAGCAGATGACTTGTGTTCGTGTACAATAGCTCTTTTGTTTTACCCAAGCGAACTTATAATTTATACGGAGATAAAGTTTACATGTTAAAAGCATAAAAATCTTTTTCGTGTCTACAATGCTCCAAAAACAATTGTTTCGTTTGGATCATCATTGGCAATCTGATATTGCATTAGATGATTTGTTTCGAGCACAGTTTTGCAATAACTTATCCTCAGGAATCAAAGTGGTAAAAAGTTAACAAAAATGAAGTATTTAGGAATTAGTAATTAATAATGTGTTAAAATCAAGTCGTCTGGAGCCAAAGTTTACATGTTAAAGTAGATTTGCCTTTTTCGTGTCTACAATGCTCCCAAATCAATTGTTTCGTTAAAATCATCTTTGAAATTTTATTATATTTCCAAAGATAATTACTTCCGTGGACAATTATGCAAAAATATTTGCTTTGGAGTCAAAGTGGCATTTTTAAAATTTAACAATTTACCTGTGTCTCAAATGCTCCAATATCAACTAGTTAGACGAACGGCATCCTGAATAATTAATTATATTATAGCAGATGACTTGTGTTCGTGTACAATAGCTCTTTTGTTGTACCCAAAAAAACTTAGATTTTATGCGGAGACAAAGTTTACATGTTAAAAGCATTAAAATCTTTTTCGTGTCTACAATGCTCCCAAATCAATTGTTTCGTTAAAATCATCTTTCAAATTTTATTATATTTCCAAAGATAATTACTTCCGTGGACAATTTGCAACAATATTTGCGATGGAGTCAAAGTGGCATTTTTAAAATTTAACAATTTACCTGTGTCTCAAATGCTCCAAAATCAACTGAAAGACGAACGGCATCCTGAATAATTAATTATATTATAGCAGATGACTTGTGTTCGTGTACAATAGCTCTTTTGTTTTACCCAAGCGAACTTATATTTTTAATGGAGACAAAGTTTACATGTTAAAAGCATAAAAATCTCTTTCGTGTCTACAATGCTCCAAAAACAATTGTTTCGTTTGGATCATCATTGGCAATCTGATATTGCATCGGATGATTTGTTTCGTGCACAGTTTTTCAATAATTTATCCTGAGGAGTCAAAGTGGCACACTTAAAAAAATGCCTTTAATTTGTGTCTCAAATGCTCCAAAATCAACTGATGGACGAACGGCATCCTGAATAATTAATTATATTATAGCAGATGACTTGTGTTCGTGTACAGATTTATTACCATAGTTACGATGCTATAACGTTTTGGAGTAAAAGTGACATATTTTCCGGCTTTACTCCGATTTTGTGTCTCAAATTCTCCAATAGAAACTTAAAGGACAAACGGCATCCTGATTAATTATTTATTTTAAAGTAGATGACTTATGTTTGCGTACAATTCTATTAAAATAGCATATTCATGAAAATTAAGTCTTGTGCATTAAATGCCAAAAAAAAGGAACAGAAACATCCTCAGTGATAGTGTATTTTACAAAAGAAGACTTGTTTTCGTCTACAACATAATCTAAACTTTTGTTATAAAACCATTGTTTTTCAAATGCCTAACTGCAACGTGTTATTTTCTATTTTTTTTAGTGCTCTTTCCTCGTCATACCAACAAAGAAACAAGGGACAATACCATTAATCTAATTCACATGTTTCGAGATTATTTGCACTACCACATTAAGGTGAGAACCGTTCAAAACTTGAAGTACTTCACATATTGATCGTAAAATTTTTTAACAGTGTTCAAAGGCCTACATTCATTCCCGCATGCGTGCAAAAACCTCAGATTTCCTCAAGGTGCTGAACCGTGCAAGACCAGAGCCGAAAAACACAGAAAAGAAAACTATAACGTGAGTTGTGGATTTTTCATAATATTGTCTAATTTAATAACTCCATTCATTTATTGCTTGCAGGGGGAGAACTTTCAAGCGCATCGAATGATGTGTGCAGTATATTTAGTTGTTTTTATATAAATATAAAAAATAAATTGTGTACTAAAATGCAAAACCCGGACATCATTTTGGCCAAGCAGTGGAAAATCCAACAAAACCTAAACAAGATAACAAAACAAAGTATTCCAAAACAGAACCTTAAGGCTAAATGTAAGCTCAGCAGCATAATGAACAAAGAATTAATAGTTACGCGTTAATAATTGAATTGTGTGTGTTTTGTGTCGAGTCAGCCTCAAAGTTTGTGTCTCCGTTGTTACAGTCATGAGCGGAGTCAGCACCGCATTTTAAACCCAAGCCCACAACATAAGTGCAACATGAGAACTTTTACCATGTCAGAAAGAGCAACACGACTAAGGGATGCCACCAACTTGTTATATAGTCGCAATGGAGGATCCATCCACGCAATTAGCCTATATGTGTAGAAAACGCATTTAAAAACGTACTGCAAATATTAACAAACCTTTGATACATAAATCTAAATTAATAAAAACCAGAAAATCAAATTGCAATATAAAATATACCATCTTTTATTTATAGCCTTAAGGTACTGTCTACTTTTAGATATTTTTATTTATTAACTTTTATTGTGTAGACTAAAAAATTAGGTTACTAACAATTCGCTTAAGGATACAATCTCCGCAGCACAATACTTTAACAGTTACGCATCAAACACATTTTAAGGAGGCACTTTTAGATCTTAAACTTAACATTCTGCTTTTCATTCATGCTCTCCATGCTGGCCTGAAAATTCAGATAATCGCTTTGGATGCGGGCACAAACTGAAAGGAATGATTAGTTAAAAACTAAGTTACACCTTCGTTTTGACATTTTTGACTTGTGCTACTTACATTGGCAGTGTTTTTTTTTTTGCGATAAAGAGTTTGCTGCTTAAGTACTTCCGATAGTTTGTACAGTGTGCGGGTGAATTTACAGAGCCCTTAGGGATCATCGTACTGTTCCAATTTGATATAAGCAAGTGCTATGATAGAGAAGCGAAGGGCGAGATGGATATAGAGAGTGAGTAATACGCTAGGCACTGGGAAAAAATTATTCCAACGTCAAATAAAAGGTTTAATGATTACTATTTAATAAGTCACTGAAGGCACTCTGGATTGAACAAGCTTTAAGGCAAAACAAAAATAGTATAAAAAGTGTAATTTATTTTAAGTCGCTGCTTACATCTGAATAGCGATTTAACTATGTTCTTTTTGAATTCGATCTTAATTGTATTTTTTTTAAAAAGAACAAACCCTTATTTTAAATAAGAATTTGAACTGAATTATTTTATTGGTATTGTTTATGTTAAAGATATATATGGAATTATGAAAATCAACTGCATGACTGTTTTGAAGACTAACACACTTTTTTTTATTAGCTATTATTTTTAGCAGGCTTGAAAATAATGTTTTCGACTGATTTTTATGTTTGACGTTTACTTTAAAGCAATTGGTATTAAAAATTTAAAAGTCTTTCCATTAAAGTAGTTTTTTATTTTCTAATAAAATTTAGAAAAAATTTAGGGCAATGGGGGCTTTCTAACTAAAGTTATATTTGTAACTACCTCTGATATCCATGTCTTAAAATAAATTTAAAATCTTTAAAAAAATATATAACATTATTTTAAAGCAAACACAGTTCAAAAGTAAATCCATTAAAAACAAGAATTTTGAGTGACCTTAGATAGCCCATTTTTTCCTCAGTGTGGGATTAACTAGCGTGCAACAAGAGGAGCCAGCTGGAGGAGTCGTTTATCATTTTGTATATACAAATGCGTGAGCTCTTGTGGGAGGGAAATGGGTGGAGATGGGGGTGGCGGTGGCGATGGCGATGGACGGGATGAGACGGTGGAGCACCAGACAGGAAAAGGGCTTGGCTCGCATTAGGGTGACAACGAAACTGGGACAGTTGGTACACAGAGTTGGACCTCTACGCGGTGTGTATGCTTATATGTATATGTACGGTGGTAATGAGCTGGTGAAGGAGCAACTTTCTCACCCTTCTGCAGATCCATGTCGTCCATTTCGGAGTTCTTGATCTGTTGCAGCTTTTCACGGAACTTCTTAGTGATCTGTTTCCGCTGATAGTCCGCCTCGATTTCCTGTTTGGTGCGCGGAATCCGGAAGCGAATGCAGCAACAGACCATAATCACTAAACGATCGGTATGGTTAAAATGGTTTCCTAATTTCTTTTACATTCTCTACTCACTAATTAGCATTAAAATTCCAAGAACGGCAGCTATAATGTGCCACACTCGAAAGCCCCCAATGGCCTCCTTTTCCAGCCACACTTCGCGTGGGTCGATGTCAAAGATGTCCGTATCGTCGTCCATTTTCCGCCTGATTTATGAGCTCTGCAAGGTGCTGGAACCGCCGAGTTGCTCGCGAATTACGTCCGGCTGCCTTGCCAATCCAGTTCCGACTGCTGAACTGAACCCAAGAACTGGCTGGATTTGGCCTGGCCCACCGAATATGTTGGTAAGGGAGGCGTGGCCCCACACACTCCTTACAACGAAAACAAAAAATAATTCGCTGGTGGTTATACAGGCGGCAGCAAAATGGCCAACTTGTAAAATAACAAACAAAGAAGCCATCCCCTCCCGTGGACAAATGAAAGCTGGGACGTAAAAAGGTAATGATAGATATTTCACTGGATGCAGGGAGGGGTTCCATTACAACAACGGATCTTTAATTTATCACTTAAGCTTACTGATCGCATTTTTAAAATCTTGGTAAAATAAACTAATTGCAGAAGAAACCATTTTAAAAAAATTTAAGATTGTGATATTTACCTTAAAACTTTTCAAAAGATTTTAATATTATATCACTAAAGGTCTTTTTAAATAAATCGAATGGAATTTTAGATTGCCAATTAACTAATAGAAAACTAAACTAAATAATATTATAGTCTTTCTAATAAGATTTTATATATTTTTGAGGATTTTTATTTATTTTCTTTATCCCAGTGCTAAGAAAGCGCATAAACTGTCTTCTTTTAGCAATCCGTCCCTGTAGATATTCGTCCATTCTGGATATGAATACGAAAATGACAACAAACTCGACTCGAATCCAAGAAACTGGGCGCGGTGCCGCGTGCCTCAGGATAAAGACCGACTCGCTTTACATACCGAAAGGATCGGGGACACAGAAGGAGCTGGGGCATCGGGGAAATGGGGAAATGGGGTCGGGAGAGTCCTCCCCCAACAAAGGACAACATGCATATGGTTAGTTAGATTAGACGAGGCATGGCCACCTGCTGGTCACACCCAATTGTTTCGGTTACTTTGCCCGCTCACTGAGATGGTAACTGCAGAAGTCTGGGCGGGACTAGAGGTGCCGGAATGTTGCCTAATGACTGTGACATTTGGGGGTTGGCATCGGGAAATTTGTGATTGCAATTACTCCAGTTGACTGAAATAAATTGGTCTTTGCTCTTTGAAAACTATATTATAAATACTTTCAAAAAGATAAAAATTTATAAAATAAACCGGTTATACAGATAATCCAAACACAACAAAAATTAATGTACAAAATAATATAATGTATAATGTATTATATAATGTGATGAATATAAGGAAAGGAAATTAAAATAAGTTACTTTATTAATACCCAATAGGCATTAATCTTGAATGTCACTTAACATGTTATTAAAAATCACTTTAATTTATAACAAAATATAACACTAACAATTAAATATTTGTAACATTTTAATTAAGGGGGTGTATTTGGAAGAATTTAAGCTGCAGATTGTTCCGACCATATTATACCCGGTTTACAATAGGTATTGCATTCTTTTCGGCAGCTGTTCAGGGCGACTACATATAAAAAGATTACAGATTTCACCCAAAACTGGTTAACTTCAAATTAATTTTTTTAACTATCAGCCACCTCTATCTTTTGATAAATGCTGGTCATTAACATTGCTCCAAGACGAGATAATATTGTATATATAATAATAAAGAGTTGAGTGATTATGGACCTGCGATGGCATTTGGAAACATGGACGGTGTCACGTTAGCCCTAACCCGTAATTATATGATAATTTCCGCCCATTGCTTTCGCTATAAAAGGTTCATTTAGCAATCTGTTCGCAGGCCAAAATGTTACAAATTTTACTGATTTTGGCTGTAGGAGGAACCATTATACGGGCCGCACGGTACAATTTGGAGTTTGAGGATCCGAACATCTTCTCGCCGTGCATTGATGGGCCTCCCGGGTCTATAAGCATTCCTGATGCCTTCAACGTGGACAATATGGTGTTCGATCTGGACGAGGAAGGCGTTCATATTTCGGGAAATGTGACCACCCTATGGAATTTTCCGCGCACTGATCGCATATCCGTAATCTCAGCCTTTCCCATCTGCGAATAACAGAGGACTCAAACATTTTTCCCTTTCAGGCCAAGGTCCAAATATTGTATTTAAACAGAGGCACCTGGGAATCGACCATTTTTAACATCCACACGCCGGATTTTTGTGCTGCGATTTTTGACGAGAATCTTTACTGGTTTAAATATTGGTATAAAAACGTTGAAAACCGCGAGGAGATACAGGAAAAATGCGTGGCTACGAAAGATGTGAGAATTTGTACTTTATTGCCATCTTTTAGTTATTTAATATATTTATGTTTCAGACCGTTTTAAAATTTTATCCGTTTGTTTTGAATATGGTTCTGGAAAACATACGTATCCCGGTTTCCTTAGGACGTTATAAAACAGTGTTCACTATTGAAGCATTCGACGAAAGTGGAAAACGCCGCCCGACATCTTTATGCTTTGAAATAAAAGGCCAGGCCGCGAAGATGAAAGACTAATATTGAGTTTTCTAAAGATTTAAATATATATTCCAATACAATATACATTTTAATTAACTTATGTACAATATTCCCACTTTTTCCTACACTTTCAATTTATTGAAGCTATAAAAGGCCCTTTCTACTGATATCTCTCATAAGCCAATCTCTTGATTTATTCAATTGTTTTCATTAAAACTACCATTTTAAATAAATAAAAACAAATATTTAATATTAGCATGCATAAATAAACTTCGTTTTTTAGGGATTTATAAATCGTTTATAGTATTGTTTTGAAATATAAGAAACGAACTCTGTGCTTTAACTAACTAACTAACTAAGAAAAATTCTAATTTTGAAAAACCCAACTTCACAATATTCTGCATAAAAAAAACTTGTGAAAAAACGTTACTAACAATTGAATATTGAGTAAATCGAAATTATGGGCTTGTGTTTTAACCAAATAATATCCGATGTTTTTTTTGATAAATGATGGGTATTTACTCTGCTCTAAGAAGAGATAGTTTTTCTTATATAATAACAATTATAGAGGTTTTGGTGATTGTGAATGTGCGATGGAATCTAGAAACATTGACGGTGTAGCGTTGGCCCTTACCCATAATTAGATAACATTTCCGCCCATTTGCTTCCGCTATAAAAGGTCGATTTTCTATCGGTTGGCAGGCAAAATTGTTTCGAATTTTACTGATTTTTGCTGTGGGAGGAACTAACAATTGGGGCTCACGGTACACAATGGAGTTTGAGGATCCAAACATTTTTCTCGCCGTACATGGACAGTCCTGCAATTTAAGGATGCATATCTGAAAAACATAGTTGTCGTCCGACATCTTTGTGCGTTGGTAAATAAGAGTTTCAGTTTTCGAATAATTAAAATAATTTACACATTCATTTATACATAAATTATATATTTCAGATTGCGAATTTGGTCTCAACTTTAATTTCATCGAAGCAATCTAAGTCGCTTTTTAATATCATAGCGTATTTTGATTATTATTAACAATTTAACCTTTTACTTATTTCCCTTAAGCCAAATCAAGATTTATAAATTTTCTTTAATAATTATTTACATATACCTTGAAAACTAGTTTTTAGATTTAGGAGATATCACTTCTAGTCTGTGTGAATAAATATATTCGTTGTGTTTTAAATTGTTCGCTCTCAAAAAAAAAAATATAAATTTATGAATGCAGGTCACTAACAACCTTATCAGAAAGCCTAGTTTTAAATATAAATGTATAATAAAAAGTCTCAAAATAACTGTTGTTATTGAAATTTTTATTATTATGAAACAGAGATTTACATTAAAATAAATCAATCGGCAATCTTGGAAAATAGTTATTCATATTCCTTCAAGGATTTTTAAAAAAATTAAATATTTTTTCGTTTCAATTTTACCTAACTAATTTTGAAAAAATGAAATCGTCTGTGTTTTACAAAATAGAACTGTCACGGCTATAGAATGATGGTGCCCATATTTTTAAAAGTATTTTTTTTAAGTATGAAGAAATCAAGGGAAATTTTAAAAAACCGTTTCATGGCTATCGAAATTGGGGGCGCCACTTGGCAGGACTACGTCCCAGGTGGCAGTACCGGAAAACATTCACAATGGAGGTCCGAGAATCACTCGCTGGTTTTTGCGGGGCATGCGCAGGACCCCCTTCTCGTTACCCAAACGAGTGGGGCAGCACTCATTCACCTACTCATTCAACAAAATATGTGCTATCCCCGAATCAGTTTCAGTTCAGGCTCTCGTTCGGTGGCACATCGGTGGCGCTCGTCGCAGAAAAAGGCATGCAGAGAAAATCTAGAATGTAGTAGTTGCTGGAAAAAACACAGAAGGCAGCCAACCAACCAACGCAAGCAGAGGAAAACTGGGGGAAAATCGAATAGAGGAGATACTGAAACGGATGGCAGCGTATATAGTACTATCCTCGCAACAGTATTATCCTCGGATCGAATCGAAATTAAATCGAAATCGAATTGAATTGAATCGGGCACGGGCCTGTATTGTGAGTGTGTGCGAGTGTGTGTGAGAGTGTGTGCGGAGTACATATGTAATAGGGCCATGAAGTTTTATTGAAAAACGAGGCAGAGACAAGGCGAAAAGGCCATAAGAATTGGGACCGTAGCCCCCGAAAACCCCGACACGCCCCTTTTCGAGGAAGGAGTGTGTGTAGCTGTAAAAAATGCCCCATGCAAAAAATGTGGCCATGTGGCTCCAAATGGGAGTCACCCGTTTGCAGCTGAAAAAATTCCCAAATCACAAATCTGTTGAGCGAAAATCAAGGAGGGCCGAGTAAAACATATAAATATATGTATATATACTATATATATTTTCGGGAAAAATAAGCAAACATAAAAAAAAAAAGAGAAGAAAAATCATTTACGGTAACAAAAACAAAACGCTGTGTGCGAAAATCGGGCCAAAATGTGCGAGCGTGACCGTAAAGTGCGTGGGTGTGTGTGAAAGGTGTAAAAAATGTACATTCTGTGAATTGGCCACATATAAAAAAAGAGAAAAAAGCGAGTAACGAGTGTAACGATAGACGTTATATTTAGAGCCGATTCGTAGGTTCTTGTCTTTGTTGCCATTTTGTTGCCGCAAAAGTAAGGCAAAAACGTAGGCTCCAAAATGCCAAGAGATCTCGACTCCGGCTACTCCGATTGCAATTCCGATTCCGTCTCCGTCGTCACCGCTTCCGACTCCGGCGATTCCGGCGATTCCGGATTTGGCAATATACCCTGGCAGAAGCAGCAGCAACAGCAGCAGCATCAGCACTTTTACCAACATACAACGCGCCCACCCACGCTGTGAATCGCGAATCGCGAATTGTGAATTGTGAACCCCCCCAGATCTCTTCAGCACACCTGCAAGCGCCACTGCAAAACTGCAATTAGACGCATATTATCCACAAATCAATAATAATCACCAAATCAGCAAAGTAAGCACCGCTTTTCGTTTGTTCAAGCCACACACGCCAAACATAAAACCAAATCCAATCAAGCCCCAAAACCAGTGTAAATAGAATGTACACTCGAGCGCTTTTGTTTTGACCGCCAAACGCTGCACGCCTATCGCCGCCAAATAATCGATAATTCGATTGACACGCGTCTAGATTTGCAATAAAAGCCGTTTTTCTTTTTTAACTTTAAAAAGGGCCATTTGTATACATTTTAGGCCTATACTTTATTTTAATTAGATTTACAATATATAAATAAAATTCGTACAGGCTAGCGACATTTTCGATATGGCCTTTATTATTGAGTCAAATTACGAATATTACTATGTAAAAAATAATGTAATTTTTAAAAAAACTTAGTTTTTTTTTTTAAATACATTTATTTTTTTAACTTTGAATAAATTACACAACTAACGTTAAGTCAACTTTTCGATAGTAAATGTGGCGACTTGTAGAGTTAAAATTGAAAAAATAGGAAGGAAAGGTTTCTTTTTACAATAGAAATTTTCCCAACCAAATTTTAATGGACTTTCTTTAGAAATTTTCTTGTAGAGGTTTTTACGCCCTCTACGGTTTACCATAGTTGTTATAAAAAGAGCATTTCTCCCTAGCTTACTTTTATCGCATGCTTTGATGAAAAAACTCTATAAAGATTAAATTTGCTTTTAAAATTCAGAATACTCATGAAAAAAGCTTTTATACAATTAGTAAAGTGTCCGGGATGTTTACAATTTTAATGTTTTTTTTGTTAGAAAACATAAATACAAACTATTGTTGAAAAATCATACAATTGTATTTGTCAAAATATCTCTTCAATGTACATTGACACCTTATAATAGCTATAAGCAATGGTAGAAAAACGAAGAATATCCAAATATTTTCTACTCAATTTTTATATTTCTCGCTTTGAGGTTCTTAGTTATTTTAAACAAGAAAATATTTGAAATTTTCAAACATTTTCATTAGACTTTTTTCATTTGATTTTTATTTCAACCATATTTAACTTAACAAAAATACTTTTAAATCAAATAGGAACTATTTAAAATCTTATATTTTCCATATTAATTAAAATATTAAAATATAAAAACAAACAAATTATGATTTAATATTTAATTTAAATTATAAATATAATCTATTGAGTTCAATAGTCAGGTATTTATTTTTACTAATCCAGTTTTTTATCAGTGTACAAATTTATACATTATGTGCCAAAGGAATGTGGTTGTATGTACATACATATATCTAGAAATATGAAAATGAAAATATTTTAAAGCTTTAGCGTCCTGTATTTGCATATTTGAACAATTATTATTATTAATTTTATTTTAAGGAAATTGAAAATTGCTCATAATTTTGTCAGTTTTCGCGGCACGTTCATTTGAACGTTAATAGTTTTATATGCATAAATTAATTTTCTTGAAGTTATTTGGTTAATTTTCTATTTATGATTAAGTAAAATATAAATTAAATTAAAATTTTAAAAGCAATTACAAACTTTTTTCACCCGGTAAACGTTTCTTTTAATGTCTTAATATCAAGTTTCTTTATTTTTAACTAAATGTCAAAAATCTGTTTGCCCACAATTTTCACTATTAAGACTAATTAAATCGTTGGGTTAAAACTTGTGTTTTAGGCGGTTGCTTTTCAAGGAATATTATCAATTAATATCTTTCGGCTTATTTGGGTTTTGGGATGATATGAGCATCTCTGCAGTATATTTGTTAATTACTTTTTAAAACTTATTGTTCTAGTACTGACTACCTTCGACCAATTCCACGTTTATCGCTCCTCTCTAGTACTCTCTCCCAGTTCTTCAGATAATCTTTAAATAGAGAGGAAATTTGTTTAAACTCTCTCGGTTCGAAGTTTTCAGAGTTTTCGCATTGTGGTTGTAACACAAGTTTGGTGACTTGTTGAGCCATTTCCTTAGGATTTTGGTGTGGATGGTGTGTTGAATATTTCAATGCTCCAAAGTTTTGTTTTTCCTTGCGTTGAAGCTATAGAGAATTAAAAGGGGGTAAGTGAAACAATCGTCTTCCCAGTCAGTCATATGGTCTTTGTTTACAAATTTAAAAAAAATTAGGGTTACTCTTATTAAAATTAACTACTGAAGGTATATGTTCTTAATTCATATAAATATTAAAATTAAATTAAACAAAATTAAAAATATTAAATCCATCTAAAACACAATTTCTGGTCTTAAACTCGTCGTATACTCGATATATTTTTCATGGTAGCGTTTTCCCCTATTTCACTCCATTTTTATTTAGTATATTTTTAAGATGTTATTATCATATCCTGAATTAACAAGTTTAAGTAAAAAGTTTTACAAAATATATGAAAAAATTTAGTTAATTTTTATATATCTTGTAAAAATAAATTAAATTTGTCAGTTTTATAAAACAGGTTAAAAAATATTTGAAGTGCGCTCCGCGACTTGGGAAATTTTCTCCCAATTCGGAATTTTTGGAGAGCAATGAAGCCAAAAGAGGCGGTTGTAATGGAGTTTGAATGAAAAACGTAAATGCAAATTCCACTTGTGTTGGTGCACATGTCTCGGCTAAGTGTATGAGTATTGGTTGACGTCGAACTAACGGTCGCGATGTGACGTCACATCTACCACAAGAAATAAAGGGAAAAACCTAAACCGTACAAATATCTTAGGCAATTTAAACTATTGCAATACTGTTTCTTAAACATAATAAATGCTTTTTGATAATTGGTAATAAAAACTATTCGAATTTAAAACTTTATAAAGATATTTTTAAATATAAATTTAAAAAAATTTAAATTTTGATGACCAAAAGACTTATAAATAAAAAAATCGCCTTAAAGTTATTATACTATTTGTTCTAGTGAAACTTTTATAAAAATGTGTGTTCTTTACTTTACAGTATTATTAAACAATAATTAAAAATGTAAAATATCTAAAAAAATAACTATTTTAAACGCTAAAAACAAATTAATTATAATAAAAAATGAATAAATAGATTTTTTAAAAATACCCAAACTTTTTGGACGGTAAAAATTAAATACCAAATAATTTCAAAAAGCGCGCGAGGGTGAATTTCTTATTTATGGGCCCCTACATCTGTGCTCTTCTCTCGCAAGCGTGGTTTATCGAGGGACTGAACCTATTGCCGTTTTCTCGCACATTTCACCTCGGGATCCAATCATATGTTCAGTGCCAACTCGACGTCGAACCAACGTGACAGCGCTGTGTGCTCGACGCCAAAAGTCGGTGGTTCTATAAAGGTTACTCTCCCCACAAGTCACTCGATGCGTTCTGAAGGCGGTCGTTGAATAAAACAGCAGACTCGGCAAATTAAATGTAATTAATGCAATTTGGGCTTTATGCTTACGTGATTCGATTCCCGATTTTCCCCGGTTCTAAACGAAGCCAATTTCAAGTTCTCCCAAATTTTTGGTGGCTCTGTCTTTTTTTTTTTTAGAGAATTTCGCGTGTGTGCTGTCATCAGAACTTTCATGGTGTGCGTGTATTTGTGTTAAATAGCGTGGTGGAAGCTCCACCACATTTGTTATGTCAATAATTAGGAGAACAAAAAACGCAAAAAATGCGTTAAGGTGTTGATCAAATAAAAATTTTTTTTTTCCATGTTTAACTTTACCCCAAAATAAATTGCATTTGGCAATCACATGGAAAATTGATTTTTTGCCAAATGCGCGAACATTTGATGTGCTTTTTTTTGTTTGTATCGGTTTTTTTTTTTTGTTTTGTGAATCCAACTGGAGGGAGCGGGCTGTGTGTGTTTGCCAGTCCAATTGGATTATGCCCGAGCCGGGCTTTGTCCAATTGCCAGATTCTTGTTGGCGCTGTTGTCTCCTCTTTTTGAATTACATTAAATATTTAAAGCATATGCAAATTTGAACAGTGGCCCCGTAAAAGGAATAAAGTACCTTAACCTGGCCGCGGCCTCAACGCGCTTCCCACTGTAGTTGCTGTAGTTGATGTGGTTGTTGTAGCTGTTGCTTTGCCCCCGCCCCTGATGACACACCTTCGGTTCCTCAGTTTATTTCAGTCTTCCAGAGATGAGCGCACGCTTTTCAAAAGATCATTATTTTTCACATTTTCCTGTGCAAACATAGGGGATGTAACTAAATACTATTATTAAACAAACAATTTTTTCGTTACTATTTTTGGGATAGTTTTTAGGGCTAGTTTCATATATTTAAGATAGCATATAGCAGTTCGACTGCACATAAATTTACATTTTTATAACTAAGACTGTTCTTGGTGCTTGAAATTGTATATGGTTTAAAAACAAAATTGATTTGCCTTATGTCTCTTACTATTTTAAGGTTAACTCTATTTTCTCTATTTTTATTCCGTGCTTAATTTTTTTGTGAATATATATAGCTTTTCTCTTTTGTTTATATATGTGAAAAACGATAGGTTATCCACAAATGATTTTTTTGGTGTACGAACAAAATTAAATTAAGTTAGCTTAAAAAAAATACTGTAAATATATTGAGCAGATAATGCTTATGTGTTCAGCTGAATGGAAAAATAAATTTTAGTACAGTTATAAAAGTTATAAAAGTACAATATATAAAAAATGCCAAGAGGGTTGTTTAAAATAAATAAAACTTGGAATTAGATCCACCTTTAGAAATATGTTACTTCTAGGTTTGCCTAGGAACAATCAATGTTGTACGCAAAGTGTAATGCTTTCCCTGAGCTTCACGCCGGAATAAATTGAGAAGAAAAACTGCCTAATCCAGATATCGTAACCCCTTAGCCTTGCCCAGCAGCTCATCTCTATTTGGCAGCTTTTCCCCGTTTTCCCAACCGCCTTTAGTGTCGTGTAAATCGTTTTGTGTGGTGAGGGTTACCTCTTCTTTTTTTTTTTTTTTTTGATCCGTGTGCCTGGGCCTTTTTTTGTTGCTTTTTTTTTTTGTTTTTTTTTTGGTGTTTTACTGCTTACCCAAATACCGACACCCGAAATCACTCACACTCGTAGTGGTTTTTTGCTTTGCAGCAGATGTGGCTTCCAATCTTCATGTTCCCGTTCCGTTTTCCTTACCCATTTTCCCCATTTTCCCCATTTTCCCCGATTCAAATGCATTTCGATTGCTTCGTTATGTGTGTGAGTGCACTCAACTTGCGAAATGTGAGAGTATGTGTGAAGAAAGAAGTATTCTTAAACATCGTTTTTCTTGATGCAATGGGTGTCTATCCAGCGCCGTCTCGTGTCTTTTCCTAGCTGCTGTTTCCAATTCGCACGAACGCTTTCCCGGGCCAACAATCCCATGTCCTTGTCGCCCCTTTTGCCCCGCCCCCTTTGCACCGCCCCCTTTTGTCCCACTTCGGCCGACACGTGCTCATTATGCCGACTCACATTTTACTCCACTTTTCGACTGTTCGCTGCCGTGTAACTCCTGCTGCAGAGTTTCTCAAAGCTGCTAAAAATATATGTCAGATTAAATGAACTCCGTTTTTTAAACTTAAAAAGTACAAATGTAGTTTTGCCATTTTAATTATTGAAACTTAAAGCTTACAAATGAAGTTTTCAAATAGCAAAAAACTATCACTATCACACATTAAATCGAATATTTATATATTTATTTAATAGTTTTTATTTACTAATTAAAAATCAGAATCACGGATTTAAAAACCAGAAAGTACTTTTAATCTAGATTTTAAGCTTGGCGTCTTTTTACAATAAAAAAAAAACAAAATGTAGAAATTAATTAGAAATGTAGAAAATAATTTAGTTTTCAATATTCTATTTTACTTTACAAAAGGATCCTTTGCGCATTTTTTTAGTAGCTTCCTGCTTAAAAAAATAATACAAAATACCTTAAGTTAAAAATTGTTTTGTTTTTTAATAGCTTTGAAGAAGTTGTAGCACAAAAATGAATCAAGAAAATGTTTTAAAATTATTTTTCCCAACATAATTATGTAATTTTTAGGAACCACGTTATTTAAAAACTTTAGTATTTTTTTGTACACTCATACGCAATATATGTAATATTTCCCATACGCAGTGGGCAACACTGCATAATATGTAGTATTTCTTGTTTACTTTGAATGCAATTTCATAATTTTATTTATTTGTTTATATTTCGAAGTGCACACTAAAACAAACCATTTAGGGTAGTGAAAATAAAGCCCATACCAAAACATTTAAAGCAGCCTGCACTCTACTCCGCACATGTTTTGTGGGGTCACCTCTGGCATATTGATAACCATAACAATCTTGTTTGCTGTTTGCGCTTGGCAATTAAAAACTTGTTGATTGTGGGCGCTCGCAATACTCGTACCCTCGGTTCTCAGTACTCCCAGTAGCGTCAACTAAATGAGATGCATCCACATACAGCCAAACAGAAACAACACCGCCTAAACACTAATATTTGACTTATGCGAATTGGTCCGAGTCTTTAAAACCATAAAAGGTTGCTTAGGGAAGAGATCGGTCTTTGTTTTTTTTTTTATATATAACTATCAGTATATTAATTTAACACAACAAACAATCTTATAAATTTCTTTGGTCATTTAGCTTTGCGAGGTTTTTTTTTCTTAATATTGTCTTAGGCTTAAAAATGGTCTTAATATATATATATTTGATCTTTTTGAAGGTTCATAAATATCCCATAATTCTGAGCTTAGGCTAAAATGATTCGAAAGATTGTTGGAATTTATTGTAAACAAGTACAAAATACATGTTACAGTATTTAAATTCTCGATTACTAACAAACTTTTTTTCCATCTCTTTTCTATTTTTCAGTTGCTGATAACGCAAACAAGTGGCAATAATAAAGAGAAAAATAAACGGGCTAAAAGGTTCGAAAGGCCGAAAAAGTGAAAGCCAATTCAGTAGTAAAACCAGTGCAAAGTCAAAAACTTGTGGGAGTCGAGTGCTCGTCGTCCTCGAGTCCTTGAGTCCTGCCAGTGGTGGTGGTGTGCCAAGTGTATTAAGTGTGCAAAGTGTGCCAGGTGTGCTAGTGCGTCCGTGGATACCAGATACCAGATACCAGATAACGGATAACGGATACCGGAGAAGCCACAACGTCGTCCATAAAACCATCGACGTCGACTGCCGCCGCCGCCGCTGCTGCTGCTGCTGCCGCTGCAGGATCGGGATCGGGAGCGGGACCAGCATCGGGATCAGGAACTGCTCCATCAGGCCACCAAAGGAGCGGCGCACGCAGCGGCCAGCGACGTCGCAGTAGCAGCAGTAATCCACACGCCGGCACAACGAAAGCGACCAGTGGCAGCGGTGGAGCTGGCAGCGCCGGCGGAGGAGGAGGCGGTGGCGGTGGAGGCGGGGTCAAGCAGAGCGTCAGCCGGAACAGCAATATCCGGAGCAGCAGCTCCAACAGCACCATGGCCTCGGCCAATCACCGGGGTGGCGGCGGGCGCGGAGGTGGAGGCGCCGTCGCCGGAGCCGGCGCTGATGGTAACGCGATCGTCGGACTGCAGATCGGCTCCGCCTGGTTTCAGCGCAAGATCAACCTGAGGCCGCAGCACCGCGGCGTCCACCTGGTCACCGAGGAGATCCTCCGACAGATGCCAGAGCTGGCGCACTTCTCCGTGGGACTATGTCACATGCAAAGTGAGTAGTATTTGCTTTGCCCTTTACTAAATAAAATATAAGTTACAAACCAAATGTGATTTTCTACAATATAAAACAATACAATTTACTACGAAGAATCCACACAGAAAGTAAAGTTTTTAAAATTTTTTAGAAATTTAACATCATTATTTATAACCGCCACTTCATTCTAAACATTTAATAGCAATCTATGTTTTTAAAAATTGTATTTTCACAGAGAAAAGTACCAAAAGATTAAAATGCAAACAAAAGTCGAAACATTTTGTAAAATAAATTACTGCTTGTTGTTCATAAACGTTTTCTTGGATTTACTACAATGTTTTTCCCCTTTTTTGCACCTAAAACGTCAAATTATAAAGCTCTGTTTTCTCTGTATTTATTTGGAAGCATTGGCTAAATCCCTTATTATTGAGTTTGGTGTGCCTTATAATATGTGAACTTTTATTTACTTTGGAATATATCAAACATCAAAATATTATATATCTAAATTAGTGTCTCAAAATCGTACAAAATATATATATCTTGAGCTTAATGTTGTGTTGAATAACAATGAAACTACGCTGGATGTTTTCTCAGATATCTATATGCTTTATTTATATAAAAATAAAATAGTATTACTAAAACTGAAAAAAATTACTTTTAAAAGTTTTTAACGGGCAGCCAAAACATAGCATTTCCAGTGGCTAAATATTTATACTCTCCCACAACATTTTTATGTTATTTTGTTGCATTTGCTTAGAACTGGGAAGTTCTACCAAAAAATATTAGAGATATATATTTATGTTGAACATAGATTTTGATTTACTTGTGTAGCCAAGATGTGCCGATTAATATAGTTAATTTGAAACGCTAACTGAATCTGACGTTTTAATATAACTAAGCCGACAAGTATAACAAAAGAATTGGAAATGCTCTTATATGACTTGTGTTCCAAATAGTTTTTACTTTGACGATTCAGCTATATATACAAAAATACCTTTAATTTTAATTAATAACCCTATCTGTCCTAAGGGAATATATATATGACAACAAAAGACAACGTTTTGATTTTATAGTTTCAGAACTAACTAACCATTGAATGTTATTTTCTGGAATGATTTGAATTACAATGTACATATTACCTATATGCAACCACATCCCAATCTGTTTCATATTTTACGTAGTTTTTTGTTATTTTTGGCGGCTTTTTAACCCAATAATAATTGTAGTCGTAATTGTGTTCATAGTCATCATAATCATCATAATCATCGTTGCCTCCTCTTGATTTTTTTCGGCATTCTAAACTATTTTCATTAACAATGACTTCCTTCCTTAAATTGGAAAACTTATACGCGTTTTCAAGTGCGTTTTTCTGCTTTTTGTAAAATTTAACACATTTTTTACCTCCTTCTTTTAAGCGAATTAGGGTTTTGACCTTGTTTAAGCGCTCAGTAATTTTGTCCTCTAATTGTTGACGCTTGTCATCGTATTGCTTAAAGAGTAATAGGTTCTCCGTTTTTGTGTGTAATTCCGCTGCACTCCTGGGAATAGTATAGTAAAGATTTTCTATCCACTGAGACAGTTCACTGTTTCCAGTGGCTATTTTTCTATATTTATCGACAATGTTTTGTAGTTGCCTTGTAACTAGGGCATTATTTTCCTCAGTTATATGCATACATATTGCTGGAATGGTTATTTCGTATTATTGGCCTGTAAATCTAGGGCTTATTATGTACTCACACTGGGCAAGATTTGCCAATAGGATTATTGCTGCTATCTTCATCTCGTAGAAGAAAGGCCAAATGCAACTTACGTTTAAAGTGAATGAAATTTATAAACTTAAAATGTTGAGTTTAAAGTATCGCCTCACAGAGTGTAACAAAACAATTCCGCAAGCTTAAAAATAAATACAGACAGTTTTAAAGCAACAGAAAAATATTTAAAGCGAATAATTTGTAACATTTTTGAAGTAATATGTGATTCCAACATTCAGTCGGTTGTTTAATTTTTCAACATACTGGCTTCCATTCACTTCTTTGTGGCTTGAAAGCTTCACTATATATTGTGTTCCATAAATTGTTTACTTTTAGGTTAGTAAGGGCTGTGTTACAGTCATTTAGTACATCTTCGGCACCTCTCTCGTCGCCTTCCCAAGTGATTATCCGAAATTCAGGGCTCAAATGTCAGTTAATTGTGGGGAGCAGCTAGAAAGTCTCTTCTATTTTCCCCCTCGTTTTCATGGCATCCATCTTATTCTATTTGCTGCCGATTTATACACTTCGAAAAGCCATTTTTAACGAAATATTGCATATACTACATACTCAATCCGGGAAAGCCAACCTTTAGGGTATTCAAACTCTGACATTGGGAAAGTTTCCTGGCATTACATTTTCTTTGTGGGGATTGCATTTCTCTGGGGGAATCTCGATATGGCCAAGGCGTTTGCATTTAGTTGAAAGTTCAGTTGGACAAACAGCGAAATGTGGAACTTGCATACCAAATCAGCACAAATTGTCGTTGGATTCAGCAGAGGAGCAGCCAAAACTTGCAGGACTTGCAGGATTTGAAGGGGCTGCTGCCCCGGCTCATTTGTATTAGCCCCCAGTAACTGGGTTAAACTTCACAGATAAACTGACTGACTTGGCCTGGTCACTCCTTTGTGCCTTTTGCTGGTACCCCAAAAATTGCGATTGACATCCGAAAATAGTCTGACTTTTGTGTGACCAGAACGTGTGGCTGTGACGATGACCCACATTTAGGTGGGGTTCTCTAAAATTAAAGCGGAATGGAGTGCTTGGGCTTGTTAGGAAACTCCGGCTTAAAGAGATTGCCATATATACCTTAAGACTTAAAGTGTCACTGAAAGGTCAGTCATTTCTCATTTAATTGTATAATTTTATTAAAATAAGGACTAACTTAATTTTTGGAAATTCTATTTTAGTTTAATTGCATAAAGTCATTTGGAGAAGTCAAAGTATAAGTCATATTTTATGTGTGTTAATAATAACTGAGCTAAGATGCTAAAGTGCAATATGCCGCTTGACAGGATGTCCACACACTTTTCAGACGCCATGCGATTTGAGTCCCTGTTCAAGTTTTATATTCCACTCCATGGAATGCATTCGAAATAATCTCCGGATTGCAGTTCCTCAAAGTATTTCTTTTTGTGCGCTGCCACTGCTGCTCTACGCACACTAATTCTCGTGTGGAATCCTCGCTTTCAAAGTCTTCTGGCAGCATATACACTGGAAAAAATGTTTAGTTTATGGTAAAAGCCCATCTATAACTTCTTATATTTAAATGTCTTCAAACTAAAAATTGTTTATTTTTAATATAAGCTATTGCTAGAATGCCTTTAAGTAAAAAAAAATGGTGTTAATCAAATCAACCAAACTTTCAACATAGAAAAGTTCATTAATTGTTAACGGTATAAATTCTATTTGGTATATTAATACAGCTGGAACTGTTTAATTGTAGTTAACCTTTATTTTGTCTCAGTGTAGGCTAGTAGGAGAGTAAGACGATTAGGAGGCAGTGCAAACAGAGAAACAACCTCCGTAGCTGGCTGCCTTGGAGGCAGCTTCTTGTTGACAGTTCGCATTACAATGCCAGGACGCGTTCCTCCATTCTGCGGCTTTCCGTCCTCCTTCCACTCTCCCCGTCCCGCTCTGACCCGGGAAAATAAATAAAATCGTATCATAAAGCGCCAGTTGGGAGGGGAAAAAAAAGGTGGAGTGGGGGAAGGGGGGTTTAGCTGGGGGAAGTTGGCCTGACTAAAGTGAAAAGCAATCGTCGTCTTAGTCGCAGTCGTCGCTCATGTCTGCATGTCATGGTCTGTGGCTATGGCGTGTGAATGCTCGAGGCGAAGTTTTTCAGCACCCCCTTTTCTTGAGCACCCCCCTTGTATTTTCTACTTCCCTGCCAGCCCAGAGTGCACAGAAAAAAAACACTTTTTAAACTTTAAAAGTTTAAGGTGATTTGTCTGCTATTTTTATGAAATTCTAATACATATCTTTTTAGTATAATATAATTTGTATGGTTTTAAATAATAGATGAACATTCTAAATTGTATTCTATAATATAGGTTTGGCATAGACATCTACACAGAGAAAACAGAGCTTTAAAACTCGACGTTTTAGGTGAAATAAGACAAAATATTTTAGTTACAATTAGGAACAGAAACATTTTTTTTATAATTTTTTAACCCTGTTGTTTCACCAAAAACTTTTGCTACTTTTTCTGTGCAGAAAGATTTATAGTATTTAAAGTATTTTTAAATCCTTTAGACATTTGTGTGCTTTTACGGTGTGAAAAATTAGGTAAAGGTATAATTTAAAAAAAAAGTTTAATATATAAAACATTAAAGCTACGGTTTTTTTGTGCTGTCATTTTTCATGGTACCAATTTTTTGTTATTGTGTGCCCCACACAAATCGTCTCAGCCAGCACATTGCAGGCAAGACTTTATTATTACGAACCTTCGTTCTTTGTTTTCTCCTTTATTTTTTCTGCCAAATCAAAAGCACGTGTGTCCCTGTCCCTTGCTCCTGGCAAAAGCGCCCCCCCTTTCGCCATCCATGTTGTGTGCGTGTTTGTTGTCTGGGGTGCTCACTGTACGTGTATTGTTTTGTGAACTGTAAGCGGAATCTAATTGAGGTCAAGACATGTTTATTGATTTTCTTAAAAGGACTTCCTAATTAGACACACTTTACTAAGGTAAGCTTAACCCCCCTTCCGCCCCTTTTCAATGCAAAAAGAAACAGAAAAAAAGTAAATAAATGCAAGCAAATGAAAGGCGACTCTCCGCTTTCCCTCTTTTCCATCTTTTCCATCCCAAGGAGAAGCACAAAAAAGTTAATTTTGAGAGAAAAAAAAAGAATTATTTGAAAGCTACCTTGCCATATGTTGTTGTCTTTTACTATTGACCTCAATAGCCCCCCGTTTTCCGCCGCCCTCCCCCTTTTGTTTCTATGGGGAAAACAACACAAGCAACTGCACGGAGGAGGGGGAAAAAAATGGCCA